CAAATTATTATCAACCACTCGTAGAGACCCCCATATGCCAATTTTCAAAGGGATCTGAGCAATTTTTTTTCTACCGCCAACGAACGCTTCTATGACGGCCATATTTGAAAATGTCGAAAAACAAATTTAGAGCACAAATTATTATCCGGCATTTCTAGTGGCCTTCACATGCCAATTTTCAGTCGAATCAGAACAAATCTCTTTCGGAAACTATTTTTAACACTTATATGGCAGCCATATTAAAAAATGGCGAAAAGAAATTTTTGACCCCAAATTATGATTAAGGACTCCTAGAGACCCTCGCATGCCAATGCCAAGAAGCAAGTTTTTCTTCGGCCGCAATTTTGAAATCGCCATCTTGAATTTTTTTTAACCCACGCAGTTGACCAATGTTACCCTCTATGACATTCTTTCGAGCACCTCCTACCTATATCTAATAGTTTCCGTGATAGGAGGCTTTGAAATTTGTATGGCGACCATCTTGCGAACATTTTTTACCTGCCGCGGATATTGACCTGGATGTATCTCATAAAAATGCACAAAAATCCCCCCCATGTATTATAGTTTTTGCAGGCCGTTGATCACTCGTTTATATTTTCCACATTCAGGTCTTCTCATATTTGATTCTTTGCTTTGAGGCCTATCCGCGTACAACGGTATAAACTTAGAATAATAACGTATAGAAACCTATCCCGCACACGCTAAGTGAGACAAATTAAAGCGCTCCCAATCGGCTTACACGAGCGGGCGGGCCGTCAGTGCTCAAGGTCAACTTGCACCGCGAACAGCTCAAGAATTTTAGCTAAAAATGACGAAATGTGCGATTAATGAGTGTAAAAATTCGTGAGACAAACATAAAATAGATACTAACATCACATTCCATAAGGAAGTAACGCGTTTCAACTTGTATTTTTATATAAATATTCATTAAAACCGAAAATTAATTTCGAAATAAGTGCTATATTCGTAATGAGCACCCCCAAATACCTCGAAAATGATACCCATATTGCATTTATTTCAAAAGTCGTGTCCGCCATCTAGGATTTAGAAATAAATGCCATATTCTTGATGAGCACCTCGAATACCTCGAACACGATTCCCATTTTGCGTGTCCGCCATCTTGGATTTAGAAATGAGAAAAGTCGTGTCCGCCTTCGTGTATTCAGATATAAATGCCATTTCCATAAGGATTACCAAAAATAAATTTTTGAAAATTCCTGTCACTTGATGTTGTCGATCAACAGTAACGATCGACAAAATCGAGCATATCTGTAGGCACCTGATCAAGATTGTCGATCGACAAAATCGAGCAAATCTGTAGGCTTTAACTTAATGATGAGTTAAGCAAGATACAATTTCCCCACTTTTGAGGGAAATGTTATTCCATGGCATCATTATTTGTACATTTGTGTGCGTGCCGACGAGCGTAAATACAAGTTGCTTACGCCTACATGAATTTGATTTTTGCCTCACTTGTGACAGTTCGTTTGATATGAAACTATCATGCTAAGCGTTATTATTCTAAGTATAAGAGATATCAAAAACTTTAAACTGACATTGAAACTACGTTACCTAATAAAAATAACGACATCAATAACTTATAAAAAATAAAACTAGTAACAGTCCATAATAACGTAAATGTCCAAAATTGTAACGTTACAAGCTCCTATACATTTCATATGACATTCGCAGAGCGGCTTAGATTCGAGCAATTACTTTGAATACAAAATTTGGTGTTACTTAAAAATATACGTCACTTTGTTTTTATTCAATTAAAATATAGTTTATTACTATAACTAAAGCAGTTTCGTTATCAGTAAACTTAAAGCCTCTCTATGAATGTCATATTAAATGCATGGGAGCGGTTAAAATTTTGTGTATTTCTTATTTTATTTATAAAAGTTTTTTATTTTCGACCCCTCCTACGTAAAGTATAGTATGTCGAAATTCCCATGTTTACAGGGATCGTTTTAAAGTTTTGAATTCACTGAAATGAGCATAACACGTGACTAGCATTTTTCAGTTTTATTCGGCAAATCTCGTTACTCACATAGAGTAGTATAAAATCCTAGATATCGGTTAGATCGATCGGCCTTTCCCAAAGTGGGCGATAACGCCCCCTCGTGGGCGCTGCAGGCCTAAAGGGGGGTAAGAGACCCAAAAAAAAAATGGGGGCGTTGTGTAGAGGCTTAGGGGGAGATTTGTAATTTCATCTAGAAAGACTCTGAGACACCGACTGAGCTCTCGACTCTCGACTACAACTTGTGAACATCAACTAAGATATTAATTAAGAGATTGCTCAAACTAACTCGGTTCGATATTTCTCTCCGTGTAGTTCATATATCTGTACTGTTTTATTGAATAAATAAAATAAAAATC